GTTACGAATAGTATTAGCTAAAGATTTTGCTCGTAAGTGCCTTTGGCAAAAGGTAAGATCGAAAGATGATCGCGCTGATCAATGACACTCAGCTTTACATTCAGAGACACCAAGAGGAAGTCAGGGATGTGTCTACTATGAGGAACTCCTGAGGGGAGCTGCCACAGGCAGGCACTTAGCCAAGGGGAGGTTCCCCAGCATTTGGCAGGATCCACACTGAGGTTCACTGAACCAGCCAGAAAAAACTGGTAATAAGACTGCAATGGAAAGGATGTGTACGTGTCAGTGTGTCTTGATTGTTGACGTCCTGATGGTGCCATGGTTGTGGACGAAGAGAGGAAATGAAGACAAGACCACCCCAGTTCTCATTCAGAGCAAGAGGGAGGGGGGATGGGCAGCGCTCAGTCCTGGGAGGGGAACATGAGGGTTGGGAAGGATCGGGCTTTAAAAACAGTCAGATCACACCCAGGTTATAAGAAAAGGAATGTATAGGAAGATTACATTTTTGGCTCCCGTTAGGCAGGGAAAATCTACTTTTGATTGACCTTAATACAATAAGACTTTTCAATTCACTGAAGCTAGGAATTAGTCATTGTCTCCAACAACAGTGGGTTCCTACGAGCTGTCTACTAGCTGGCCGCTCATGGGCAGCTGTGGCCTATTTGCCATCTACAAATCACAGCGGAGCGTTCCTTGCCCACCTATGGAGCATAGCTCATACCACGAGGCAGGCCCGGGAACTCCTAGGCCGCTGTTGACCTGATTACGTGACTATCTCCACGGTGGTCTCAGGATAACTCTGCCTGTGACAACATCAAATACTTTGCTGACGCAAATGTCTCTCAATGAAGGGTCGCAATGTCCCCTCCCGTGTTTTCTCAAAAAACTTTGCCCCCATTCTTTTTTTATTAATTTTATTTTTATATTCCCCATACAATTGCAACCCCCTTATTTTGACCCCAATCCCTCCTTTCCCTGCCCCCTAGCCTCCATAGAGTGTCTCTGGTTCATAGTTTGTTGATTTTGATATTTTCTTTCTTATAGTTATCCTTTTTCCTGGTCCCTTATTTAGGTTTTCTAGATTCCTGCTATGAGTGAGACCATCCGGTATTTTTCTTCTTCTTTCTGGCTTATTTCACTGAGCATGATCCCTTCCAGCACCATCCATGTTGCTGCAAATTGCATGTGCTTATCTTTTTTGAATGCTGAGTAATATTCCCTGGTGTATATGGACCACATTTTCTTGAGCCAGTCATCTATTTTTGGGCATTTGGGTTGTTTATGCCCCTATTCTTATCCCACCATCAAGACCTTATTCTTCACACCATTGTTGCACAATCAGCTTTTACTAGCCTGTGTGCTTTCAAGAAATGGCACAAGATCTTCTGCTCAAGTAGCAGAGTCTTGCCTGGCAAACCAGCTCCTCGACTGTTGTATCCCTTATCCAGCTCCCACCACAAAGTAGCAACAAATTTCCTGTTTCCTGTTTGTTTCATTTTTGAGGGGGTATTATTTTTTGTGGGTCCTGGCACGTTTCCTTTCTGACTAGTGCTCACCTTTGAATGAGGTGAATTTCTTGACCTTGGTCCCTTGTAGCAAAGAAACTGGGGGAGGGCCAGGGCCATATGTAGGCTAACAGGCTGTGTGAATAATGCTTCTGAGTTCTTGAAACTTCATGACTAACGTGGTCCTGCCTCAGTTCGCCCTCCCAGTTCTGACTTGCAAGCCAGAGTTTGCACCTGGGCACCTGCCTCTACCTTGATTCAGTTGTGCTAAATGCACCAGCAGTGCATGGTGCTGTGAAACCTCAGTGTTTGAAGGGTCCTTTCATTTGTTTTCAGATACTGCTTTTGACAGAGATTTTCCTGTCCGCCAGGAGTTGAAATCACAGCAGGAAACCAAAATAATGCAGCTGAAAACAACTCCCTCTCCCAGTGTTTTCATACCATCTCTGCAACGGACACCCTGCTTCTCTGAGCTGGACTTGCTCTGAACCTAGTGATGAGCCTGAGGTGAAATCTTAAGATCGTCTCAAGACTTTTACGAGCATGTTGTCTTGCCTGGACATATGCACGGCTTTCTAAATTCTTTTGAATACACAGCTGCTTTTGAATGTCCTAATTAGCCTTCAGACCGCAGAGGGTCAGGTGGTCTACGGTGTGTCTCCTCCTGTCATCTCTTGCCCCGGCCTCCCTCTGTGAGGTTCGGTCTACCTGGGGGTTTTCTCAACCTGTGCCTGCTGTTTCTCTTGCCTGCATCTGTATTTATGCAAAACAAAGATGAGACTTTGTATTATTCATCCAGCAAGAATCCCCCGGCATGTGAGAGAGACTTACACATTAAGTGCAAATTTGATCTGTGGCTGGTCCAGGTGCTGGGGGTGGAAGTGGGGGGAGTGGAGGGGATGGGGGGGTTGGAGGGGGCACAGGCTGGGGAAGTGTAGGCACAGGGCTGCTGCCTGCTTAAGACCACAGCTGCATTGGGCAGAGCACAGGGCAAGCGCTAGGAAAAGTATCTCAAAGATGCAGTAATTCTGAAGTCAGGTTTTCTTGATGCCATGTGCTTAGTTGTTGCAAACTTTTGACTGCTTTCCAGTGTTCCTGCAAACTTTGTCCAGAAAGCTACTGGTTTTTTTTTTTAATGTTTCTGTGGCAGAAGGAAAACCTAGAGTTTTTCAGTCTTCCATTTTGTTCCCGTACCATAAGATTTTCATGAAATTAAATCCATGTGTACATACTGTTTTATAGCCTGCTTTTTGGGATTTATTGCTGTACATCCCATATAATTTCCCAGGCCAGTTGTATCCTTTCCATTACTCCTTATGGGTGCACAATACTAGGAATGTTTCACGGGCTTAAGTTTCAGAACCTAGACATCACATTTCTGTTGCTGGAAAGTTTTGGGCAGAGTAAAGGAGCTATTACTACGAGTGAGAAGCCCTCATACCTGTGGGACCTGGTGAACATAGCAAGATACCGACACAGCAGGATCCAAGTGTATCCCCTATAGGTGATGGAACCCAAGAAAACTTCCCTCTGAGACTTGGGGGCTGGGGGCACAATTATCGCTCCTGGGGACACAGGGACTTGTGTGGCCAGGAAACAACATGAGTGCCATGATGCCCTTGGGCTGTGTCCTGAGTTTTCATTTCCTATCCACAGAGGTCAGGACACCAGAAGGACATGTGGCGGGGGGTGGGGGATGTCGTCTGAACACCGAGGACTCCATTTGCCCACGAGAGTCTCCAGAGATGAGAATGTGGCCATTTTCATTCTTGCTTTACCTTCACACTTCAAGAAAACATCATCCCAGGTTGGTGCCCCAATCTTTGGGCCCCTAATTTGACAAGATCTGCTGGTTCCATTTGTCCTTGTCATGAAGAGGTTGAAACCAACATCTTTGCACATGCACCATTATGCATGCGTGCTATTTCCTCAGGACACATTTCAAGGGTATGTATATTAAGTTCAGAATGATTCATCTTTTAATTTTTCTTGATCCAAGTTGTCAGGCAAGTTTTTTGTTTTTAAGATTTATTTATTTATACAAGAACCGGAGTACAGGCCAGATGTGCGAGAGGGTGAGAGGATTCACCAGAGACAGAGCGGGGAACAGAACAGGCTGACTGATGAAATACACTGCTGAGGGGAGCAGCGGGTGAGAAGGAGAGGTCCGCTGCGCCATGTGGGTATCTCCCCAGCCGGCCGGGATCGAATTCATGCTGCAAAGGCTGTGAACAGCTTCACACTGCAGCACTCAACCACCTGAGCCACCAGGGAGGCCCTGTCAGGCAGGTTTCTTAGACATAGGGTAAAATCTAAGAAGCACGTGTCTCATTCACATATTAACTGTTCTTTGACTTTGCATGGCCAGAAATATATTTCTGTAACTGGGCATTTAAGGTGATCCTAGGGCCAGGGGGAAAGTGGCCTGAGAGGTAAAGGAAGGGCATCTAAGCTACTATCACTGGTGAGGGCAGTTCAAAGTGGTATAGATGGTGATGGAGGATTCGATTCCTTCTACTCCACTTGCAAAACATTGACATCTGCTCTGGGAAGGAAATTAGTGTCCAGTAGCCAAGTTACCAGCTGTGGTATCTCATGAAGAGGGAGTGAAGCACATGGGTAGGGAGACTCATAAATGAAAGGGATGGTTCAGATAAAAGGGTCAAGAACCACTGGTCACAACGAAGACAACACTAAACCAGGGATTATATTTTTAAACTGCTGCTCACATATGTTCTTAGACAAATTTAGGAGACAATTCTAAGTCAAATATCTTATCCCATGTCAATATTCTTTTGCTCCAGTGGAGTAAAATGTGTCTATGGGCTTTGGGGTGAACACTGGGACAGGAGGAGGAGGCACAGCTTAGACCAAGTCAGAGAGAACGAGCTCCTAGAGCTTGTCACGGGCAGTCAAATCAGCCTTTACAGTGACAGAGGACTGATCCCTCCCGCTCTGCTTCGCAGAGTTTGCTTGGATCTGACCCCAGTGCCAAATGTTGGTTGCTCTCACTCTGAGAGAGTGAAACACAGACAGTATCTTTCATACATGAACAGGCATTTGTCAGGCTTGACAGACAACGCGGTGGCAGGAAAAGAAGACAAAACCGTGCATTTACACATGAGTCTGCTTTATTGAGCAATTCCGAGAGCGCACAGAGCAGTGGGAACCACACGGGAGAGACGCGGCATCACGGGCTGCCACGGGCACGTCCATGGGCACTGCTGGGGGGTCCCACCACGGCTAAGAGGGGGGACTCCAGGTCTGGTGAAACCAAGGGAGGCCCCTGTCCTGGAGCAGGGCCAGGTGCGGTCTGTCGGGGCCCGGGGGAGCGCGGGGGCAGCAGGCAGGGACACGGGAGAAATGGGGCCCGTGGAGCTTCAGTGGGAGCTCGGAGAGGGAGAGGGAGAGACGGGGGAGCAGAGCTGCCTGAGGAGAGAGGGACGCAGGGACAGAGGGGCCTGGGACACTGGGGCACGAGACCCCCCGGAGGCCTCAGTGCTTGTAGCTCCTCCTGCTGGAGGACGAGGTGGTGGCGTACTTGCTGGTGGAGCAGAAGCTGGCCCCCATGCCTCTGCCGCTGCTGGAGCTGAAGCCGCCGCTCAGGCCTTGGCCGCTGCCATAGGAGTAGCCGCTGCTGCCTCCGCCCAGGCACAGGCCGCCGCCGAGACCCGCGGCGCCGCCATAGCTGCTGGAGCCGGTGGACTGCACCACGGCTGCGGGGACAGGGGACAAGGACACGTGAGCCCGCGGGGGCCCGGGCGGCACGAGAGCACGCGGGCGGGCGGGCGGACTGGGGGGGCCCAAAGGGACTTACAGATGTTGACTTGTCCGACGCCTTCTCCACTCAGCCTAGGAGAGGGGGAGACTCGGGTGAGACCTCAGAGGCCACTACTGACCTGGGGGCGGCTGGGGGCGGCTGGGGGAGGCCGGGACAGCCCCGCACACAGGCTGGGACTGTCTCTCTGGGGCCAGCGGTTAAGCCAGGACCAGATGCCCTGAGCTGGGGCTCCCTGGCTGCCTTCCTGGGCTCCAGCCAGAGGCTCCAGGGGCTCCTGGGAGGTGCCCACCTGCACTCCTCGCCCTCCAGCAGCTTCCTGTAGGTGGCGATCTCCACGTCCAGGGCCAGCTTGGTGTTCATGAGCTCCTGGTACTCGCGCAGCATGCGGGCCATGTCCTGCTTGGCCTTCTGCAGGGCGTCCTCCAGCTCCATCAGCTTGCCCTTGGCATCCTTGATGGCCATCTCCCCGCGCTGCTCGGCGTCGGCGATGGAGGACTGCAGGTTGGCGCACTGGGAGGGGGACAGACGGGGGCACTTCTCAGAGTGGCTCACAGGAGACCCACTGGGGCTCTCCTTTGCAGCTGAGCGAGACACTAGAGACCAGAGAGCAGCTTCGTTCTGCCCAGTCTTGTCTGAGCCACGAGAGAAAACCACCCCTTTCTGATGAGACCCACGTGGGCGCAGGGATGGCGGTCATGGCCCACACTCCAGAGGACACACACCAGTCGGCTTGCAGGAGATGGACCTGCTTGTTGAGTGTTGTCTCCCAGCCACTCCAGGGCCCTGAGCATGCTCCCCTGGGTGCCCCACTAACTAACAGAAACCTCACAGCCTTGGGGGCTTTTCACACTTGCCATCTTGCCACCTCACATTCGTGGGCAAACTCAGCTCCTCCTGGGTCTTTGCTACACTGTCTTTCCCACCTTGCTTCTGAGCATCTTGGCAACCATTTTCCTGGCGTTGTCGGTGGAGGCTTTCTCTCCACAGTTGCCCTCCATACCTGCTTCTTGACGTGGTCGATCTCAGACCTCAGCCTCTGGATCATGCGGTTGAGCTCAGCGATCTCCTGCTTGGTGTTGCGCAGGTCATCGCCGTGTCTGCCCGCGGACATCTGCAGCTCTTCGTACTGTGGGCCGGGGAGAGGAGAGGGGCCGTGAGATTCCCCTGCTGGGGTGATGGTGACACTGCTCGACATTTCAGAAACTTAAGCCCTAATGGCATTATCGGGGGATTCTGCACAAGTGGTGTTAGAGCCGTTGGCCATGCCACACCCTGCACAGACCGTCCTGCTGAGAGCAGGCATGGGGAGATCTCTGGGGGGATGGTGACTTTTGTAAGCCCCAGCTAAGGGTCAGAAAAATTTAGAGGTCACTAGGCCCCTGCCTAAGGGAGCTTTCCTCCTCCTTGGGGTCCTTTGATGTCAGCCCTGCACATCAATTCTGTCAACGCTCCCCAGTGCAGGGAGCACATCAGGTGCGAGGACCAAGCTCCCAGACTGAGGTCTTCGGTGGGCTCTGTGGCCTGCTGGTCTTCAGGAGGGGCCCGGGGTGTCCCCAGCAGGTGTCAAGGGCCTGCTCACCTTGCTCTGGTACCAGGACTCGGCCTCAGCGCGGCTCCTCTGGGCGATCTCCTCGTACTGGGCCTTGACCTCAGCGATGATGCCGTCCAGGTCCAGGCAGCGGTTGTTGTCCATGGACAGCACCACGGATGTGTCTGAGATGTGGGATTGCATCTGGGACAGCTCCTGCGGGACGGGACCATGCATCACGCCCTCTGCACGTCTCCGCAGAGGCATCCACGCAAACATCTCCCACCCTGATCAGAGGCCCTGTGGGTAAGCAGCCAGGGGCACTTACTGCCTCATAGAAGGCTCTGAGGAAGTTGATCTCATCCATGAGTGCGTCCACCTTGGCTTGGAGCTCAACCTTGTTCATGTAGGCAGCGTCCACGTCCTGGGGAATAAGCCAGAGCGTGGGGTCAGCACAGCGCTCCTCCCGGCCTACCCTCTCGGTCTCCTCACCCATCGCCCTGAGACGCGTGCGGGGGCACGAGTCCTCTTCTGGGGGACGTGCACCCCGGGTCTTCCTCAGCTCACCTTCTTCAGAGTCACGAATTCATTCTCTGCTGCTGTGCGCTTGTTGATCTCGTCTTCATATCTGGAGTCAGAGAGAGATGAGTCGTTAATGAGCCGGGGTGAGGGTGAGAGGGAATCCAGCCCAGATCCCAGCCGGCACCCCTAAACACGCGTCCATACTGAGCTTTCCTGCCAGTAACCACAGGTGGATTCTGGGGTCCCCAGGTGGTGTACCCCTTTTATGGCCCTCGCCGCCTCTAGATGTCCTTTTTCTTTGTTAGGGTTTGTATTGGGCAATAATTGGGACTTTGTTTTTCATGGACTCATTTTGTTATAGAATGTTCTCCACACTGGCCCCGGCCTCCCAATAGCCTCAAAGCATGTGCTTCCAAACCGGAATCCATCCCTGCCCTTGAACTCACTTGCTCTTGAAGTCCTCCACCATGTCCTGCATGCCCCTGAGCTCGGAGTCCAGGCGGCCCCTCTCCCCCAGGATGGAGTCCAGCTGCCTCCTGAGGTTGCTGATGTACTGCTCGAACAGGGGCTCCAGGTTCTGCCTCACGGTCCTGGTGCCCTGCTCCTGCAGCAGGGCCCACTTGGTGTCCAGGACCTTGTTCTGCTGCTCCAGGAACCGCACCTGGAGGAACACAAGGGGGCATGTTTCAGGCAGAGCCCGGGAGAGAGATGTGAGTGGTCAGGTGTCCCGGCAGCCTGGGGATCTCTTGGGGCTGGTTATTCTGCAGTAGCCTGTCCAGCGGCTCAGGCTTCTGTCTGCTCCCCAAAACCATCTCCTCTCGATCCCAAGTTCACCTCGGCCCCCTCCCCATGACCTGGGACCTCTGGGGTGTCCTCACTCTCGATGGGGTACTCGTGCCTCCCACTGACTTTCAGTTTTATCACAGTCAAGTTGCCAACAGCGTGTCCCCGTTTATTGATCAGGGCTCTTCTGTGGTTTGTCCTGTAGTCCCCGGTTGTCAAATGTTAGAAACAGGATTAAAATCAAGTGCAAATAACAACTGGATTCTGAGCTCGTCATCCCACTGAGTCCACGCGTCTCCTCCTAAGCATCTGCCTTTACTGTCCAGGCTCTGGCTATAACATGGCATCATTTCTCTTTCCTTCTAGTCCCGCAGGATATCATTTTCCCTTCTCTCTCTTCCCCTCTTCCCTAGAAGCATTTCCCGCTGGAATTTTCATTTCCGTCTCTCACAGCCTTGCAAGGGGAGGCTACGCCTTTCCCTGCCATTGCCTGTCTCTGCCCAGCGCATGGAAGGGCAGGAAGGAGGGACCCTTGAGCGGTGAGTTCTTAGGACGCATCAGGCCTGTGCCTGATGGTCAAGGTGCGGCCCTCCTGCCTGCAGCCAGGGCTGGCCTGTGCCTTTCACCCTCCCGCTCTCCCCTGCAGGGGCAGAGGGAGGCGCTCCTGATGGGCCCTGGAACACCTGCCCGCAGGCGGGTCCCTGCTCACCTTGTCGATGAAGGAGGCGAACTTGTTGTTGAGGGTCTTGATCTGCTCGCGCTCCTCGGTGCGCACCCGCTGGATGGTGGGGTCGATTTGCAGGTTCATGGGGGTGAGGAGACTCTGGTTGACGGTGACCTCTTGGATGCCTCCAGGGGGGCACACGGGGAAGCCGGCGCCACCAAGGCCGCCTGCGAAACCAGCTCCACCGCCGAAGCCAAAGCCGCTACCGACTCCACCGCCAAAGCCAAATCCGCTGCCTGCGCCCCCGCCGAAGCCATAGCCGCCTCCGATTCTGCAGCCGCCCCCGCTGATGGAGATCCTCTTGGAGCCCCCCAGGTTGTACAGGCTGCGGCTGCCGAAGCCAGCCCCTCCGCACGCTCCCCCGAAGGCCCCGCCGCCCCTGGAGCGCGACACGGACACGCTGCTGAAGCCCGAGCGGCAGGTGCCGGGGACTCTGGCCGAGCTGGCGCTGAAGCCACGGCTGCTGCTGCTCTGGCACCTCATGGTGGATCTGCTGCTCATGGTTCCTGAACACGTGGAGGATGCAGAAGGAGTGAGAGGCTGGAGGGAGAGCTGAGAGGAGCCGTGTGCCAGCCCCGGCGCCGGCAGCGGTTTATATATGGTGAGAGTGGGCTGGGCTGTCCTGGAAGGTGAGCTTGCAGATTGGGAAGGGTTGGGCCTGACACACAGTGAGGTCACATCTGGATTAGCAGAAAAATTATGAAATACGAAGGATTGCATTTTTGGCTTCCTTTAGTCAGGGAAAATTTCTTTTGCCTTCCAGCTTTGACTTGATGTCAGTACAATAAGACTATTCTCAATTCAGAGCCTTCGGTATTACTCACTATTTCTGACAAAGTATTTACCTGTTATTGTATCATAATATAGTAAATGTTCTCCTCGGCCACCTGTGGCTTACCCGGCAGGGATATGGGAATCAACGGTCATGTATTGTGTGTGCCTTAAGTGACAGATTATCGTTGTTTTCTCAATGATTCATAATGCTTAGCATGACTTGTTTTAAGTTTTATGAAAAATTTTACAGGGCTAGAGAAGTAGAATCATAACTCCTGACTCCCTGTCTACCTCTCATTCAATCTTATAAAATTTATATCATGTCTATCCTTATTTCTCCATTATTCCTGAAAACCCTGTAATACTTCAAAACCAAACCTGAAGGTCATATGCCTTCATCTATAATTCAATATTTATATCCCAGTGATACACTTTTAAAAGTATAACCAATATACTATTTTTAATTCTTAAAATTTACATATTCATTAATGTCATTAAGTGCTTATGAAATCTTCAAATATCCTTTGTGTAGCATATATTTTATACTCAGGTTCCATACATTTTGTTTTTTATGAAATATCTTTTAATAATATGATTTTCAGTGGCCTCCCTGGTGGTGCAAGGGGTTACGTCTCAGCACGATGAAGCCTATGAAGCTATCGGCAGCCCCTGCAGCACAATTTTGATCCCTTGCCAGGGAGCTACCCACATGGCGCAGCAGACCTTTCCTGTCTTGCCTGCTTCCCCTCTCGGTAGTGTATTTCAGTAGATCCGTCTGCTCTGCTCCCCACTCTGTCTCTGGTGAATCTGTCACTCCCCCCCATACCTCTGGACTGCACCTCAGCTCTTGTATGCATAAATAAATCTTTAAAAAATAATACGACTTTCAAATCATTAAATCCCCTCTAATTTTACCCCTAGCAATTTATTTGTCAAAAAAAGGTTATTTGTCCTCTGCTGCTTTTCAGTCTTCAGATTTTTCTAATTGCAAGCTCATGGAGTCTCACCTAACATGCCACTGTGTCCGGTGTGTAGCTTATAAACTGATAGTAAAACTACAAGTGTTATAAACTTTTTGTTTGAATTTTCCAGATAGACATGTAGTAGAATGACTATTTATGCTTCCGATTTTGTTCTTGATACACTTGTTTATATATTTAGAAGCTAAATAAGTAATATGTTTTCATAAGAGTGGTGGGAATTGTATGGGGACTATAAACAAGATGAAAATGCATACATTGTGCAAAAATGAAAAATGACGTGCTCAAAGCCATTCCCAGCCATCCATTTTCTACAAATAGAGACAAGAATGTATATAACTTTACATGCAAATGTTTCTGTGCTTTTTGTGGGGTGTGTGTGTCTGTGTATGTGTGTGTAAAAGAAAAAAATAGAGAGAGCAAAAGGCAGAGTGTATATGTAAAGTGCAAGCCCATATTTATGAAAAGTATATTAATAAATAAGTGAATTACATACAGGTGTAATGTGTCTTTTATATATTCAATATTGTATGTATGCAACACACATACCCTTTTTTCCTAATTATTCTTGTGCTGTGCCTCCTTTGTTTCCCATGTTTTCTCTTGACTCTCTTTAAGTTCTTGATTATTTCATAACCACTTGATTTTGTGCATTAAGCCGTTTTTTTTTTTCCCCTCCTTGGGCAGTTTTCAACTCAGCCTTCATTCCCATTCTGACTTTATTTTGTTTTCCTACTTCTTTTCTGAACTCTGCCAGCTAATGTCTCACCTTGTATTATCACACTACATTGCCATTTGCTCCCTCCCTTATGAATTTTTGGATAGTATTTCATTGCGACTTTTTCTAATGAGAGCTCTTCATGTGCCTTTTGCTTTTCCTGTAGTTTACTTTTTTTTTTTTGAATGTATGGTACCATCTGTGGCTCCTGAGCGGTTGCCTTCTGGCTGGAGCTCATCTTTGAAAGCGGGGAGTTCCCTCTGGACCTACCATTTATAGGAAGCTCCTGGGAGGAGAGGCCAGGACCACATCCAGGCTGACAGGTATTCTTATTATGACACACGGCGCATGAATACTTCTTTTAGCCAGCAATGATCACTGCAGAATTGCTCACAATTGGCAATTTTCCTGCTTTCTTGGCTCAGCAACAAAATGTTGCCAATAGACCTTGGCTCTGATTCCTTCTTCAACCCCTCTGCAGTTTTTTGAAACTTCATGACAAATAGGGTCCTGCCTCCAGCTGGCACACCCAGTTCTGACTGTCACAAGGACAGATTCTTCAATTTGCACCTGAGGAAGTGTCACTTACAAGGACTTAGTGTGAGTCCCATGAGTCAACAGTGGCCGGCAGGTTGTAGCAGAACCTCCGGGGCTTTGTCTGGCGTTGGTGGTGGTTACTGGATTTGGTTCAGATTTGTTTGTCTGAAAGGGTTCTCCTACGGGGTTTCTGTGAGATCTGCAGCTGTGGGCAGCTCCTCTCAGAGTTCCTAACACCTGTGTTTGTATTTCTATGTGAGAATATTCTTCTTCTTTTATTTAGGAATTTTAAGATCTTTTCCTTTTGGTGGTTGAAATGGGGCTTACCTTTTATTTCTTGTTCTCATTATTTTGGGGTAATAGCAGCAGGTTAAATTCAGAAACATATAATTCATATAGTTGTATTTAAAATGTCATATGGGGCCTCCCCAGTGGCGCAGTTGTTGAGTACTGGGTTGCGAAGCTGCCCGCAGCCTCTGCAGCGCCAGTTCGATCCCCAGCTGCTCCCCGGCCACGGCAGGAGGGTCCCACATGGCGCACAGACCTCTCCTGCCACCCGCTGCTCCCCTTAGCAGTGTATTTCGTCAGTCTGCCTGTTCTGTTCCCCACTCTGGCTCTGGTGAATCCTCTCACCCTCCCGTGCTTCTGACTGTACCCAGTGCTTGTAAAAATAAATAAATATATCTTTTAAAAAAATAAATAAAATGTCATATGATTTAGGATTATGGACTCATCATTGTGCATCTTCTAGCCTTGAGAATATTTGTGGAAAAAATTGAAAAGATCCAGATCAAGTTTCTTTTGTATGTTACATTCTTTTTCTATTCTTTAACAGCCTTTAGTATTTTTTCTTTGACTTTTGATAATTTGAATTTCTGCGACTTGGTGAAGTTATTTTGTATTTAGAGATTCGAGAGTTCTTTCAGCTTCATGGACATCCACGTTTATGTCTTTCCTTAGATTTAGGTAGTAGTCAATTATTATTTCCTTGAATAAGATCACTATTTTATTCTCTCTCTTTTTAACTTCTTGAAAACACATTATCTTTGCCCTTCCTCTTCGATTGAGACTGATAGTTCTCTTTTTTTTTTTAAGAGTTATTTATTTATTTATACAAGCACTGGGTACAGTCAGAAGCGCGGGAGTGTGAGAGGATTCACCAGAGCCAGAGCGGGGAGCAGAGCAGGCAGAGTGACGAAATACACTGCTGAGGGGAGCAGCAAGCTAGTCAGGAGAGGTCTGCGCGCCATGTGGGTCTCCTCCCTGGCTGGGGATCGAACTCGTGCCGCAGTGGCTGTCAATAGCGTCACAGTGCTGTGCTTAACCTCTTGCGCCACCAGGGAGGCCACCACCCCTACTTTCTAGAGCCAGAGGGAACCTGTCACTAGATAAATTCACAATTCTTGGTGCTCAGACTCTAAAAATGTTTTGGTGAGAGAACAGCTTCAACCTCACTCACAGTTTCAAATGTGTTTGGCTTGGAGAAGACAGAGGGTGGCACTTGAAGGGGAGAGCTGCTTTTTGATCACCAGGTGGAATCCTCACGGCACGTTAGGGCCCCAGGGACAAGCAGAACCTTCTCTAGTAAAGACTGATTAGGGGATTACTAGAGGGGTGTCAAAGGTCAAAGGAACGAGGCTGTGAGGTGTTCAAAGACAGAGGCACAGACAACACTTGCCGGTGAGGCCTGTATTTGAGTTTACAGCAACTTGAGATAATTAATACTATTCTTTTAGCAACTGTATCCTTCACTCATATATGGCTCCACCTTAGTATTTTTGTCACATTGTTTACAAAATTAGTGCTCCCTAAAAATTCAGACTAAATTCACATTTAGTCCCATACCTTAAGTTTTCCTTGAAAGAGTGATGAGAATAAACTTTTTATTTTAGAATAGGTTTACACTTACCAAATATTGTGAAACGCCTACAGAAAGGTCCTGGACACTCACCACACCCAGTTTCCCTATTAGTAATACTTCACATTCACATGGTGCATCCATCCCAATGAAGGAATCCACAGAAATATGTTATTATTAACCAGTCCAGATTGCCTTAAGTCACACGCCTTAGCTTTTTCCCAGTGCTCTGTCTTGTTCCAGAATCTCACCCGGGATACCACACTACCTTTTAGTTATATCTCCAGAGACTCCTCTTGGCTGAGACAATTTGTCAGACTTTCTTTGTTTGGATAATCTTGAGAGTTTTCAAGCGTGCCCGTCGGGTATTTTATAGATGTCCACAAACCGGCTTTGTCTGATGGGTTTTTCTCATGATTAGACTGGGGTTCTGGGGCTTGGAAAAGAAGACCCCAGGGTTCATGTGTCATTATAATCACATGATATCACATGCTATCAACATGACTGACCACTGTTGGTGTTAATCTGATCAAGGTTCTCTGGTCAAGGAAGGATTTGTCAGATTTCTCTACTGTATTCTTTTACCCACTTTCCCTACTGTTCTTTGGAAGGAAGTCATTATCCATGGCCCACACT